CCCTGTCACGGCCTTAATTGACGGAATACAGTTGCTAATTAATTTATTGCACAATTGTAGTTGAAAATTTTAAAATATGTAGTATATATTATAATTATATTAGGTTATGACTTTTTGTTAGAACTCATTTGCTTTTTATGCAGTCAATGGTGAAATTTTCAAGTGACAATAATATTGTATTATTTGTGTCTCGTGTGTTCGTGTAATAATCAAAATTTAATTAACTAGTTTTATTATTATTATTTTATTTAGAGTTTTTTATATGTCAGTGTGTCGTGTAGATTCATATCATGCAGTGCACATTGCGTTATTTGTATCTATTTTTCGTGTCATATAAGTTATTATCGACCTAATGAAATCAGCTGTTTTGTTAGGGTTTTATCGGATGACTCGACTTATGAAGTCATTCACATTTATTCACCAATAATATATTGACACATGTCCGACAATAAATATAATTTAGACATGTATCAATACATTAAGTGGTGGATGACTCTATATGAAAATAATTTGATGACCATAGAATTTTTGTGAAATTAGACTACTTAGATTGTAACTTTGAGTTTGCCTCGTATATAGCTATGACGCCAAAACAATGTTTATAAATATTGTCTATTAAATTAGAATATATCATTTTATTTAAATTCATTTGAGTTTTGTCTTCATCACATTCTTATCAAATATTTTAAAGTTTAACAAGATTATAATGCAATTTATAAGGCTGGCTTATAATAATAATAATAATAATAATAATAATAATAATAATAATAATAATAATAATAATAATAATAATAATAATAATAATAATAATAATAATCCAAACAAGAATGTTTGGAAGTAAAGTATAAAATTATTTGTAACAAACTTTAACTTAGACCATAATTTTTTTTAAATTATCTCTTCAATCAATCGTAGAAACAATTTGAGAGGGTTCTTCAAATTTCCATTAATATTATTTGGGCTTTCTCATTGGGTGGAGTTGTAAGACTGTAAATGAGGCCCACTAAAATTTTCTTTATGCGGCCTGCTATCGTGCACAGAAATTTAAGTTAACAGCCCAAAATGTAATGTATTTTGACCCACGTTCAAAATTGTAACTTGGATCACAAAATATACCTAAATTTAATAAAAATACCTACATAGGTCGCAAAAGTTATACAAATAAAAGAATAGCTACATATGCCATAAAAGTTGTACAAAGAGATGGCATTAACTACAATATATCTAAGTAATAATAGATGTTGCAAGAATTATTATGCATTATTTCATCTAACTTCTTGATATGACAATTTAAAACACAAACTATATTTTAGCCTTATACAATCCTTAAAAGCTAACTAATTAGAAAAAAAATGCTCTCACTTGTTATACGAGTCGAGCACTCGCGCACTATTCTTCACCCAAGTTATGTGTCGTGATGGACATGCGATGTTAGAATATCGAGCTCGATTAACCTTGGAACTACTCGTTAGCTCAAAAAGAGTCTTCAAATTGAGCTCAAAATGCATTTCAGGCTGTGTGTTTGCTTTTAATTACCTTTTGAATTATCGAGTTCAACAAAGTCCAAAATACAAACGACGGTGACCAATCTTAACCACAGTCGTGTGTCGTGCTGGACACGTGATTAGGTAAGAAAACTCGACCTCGGTTAACCTTTGAACTACTCGTTAGCTCGAAAAAAAAAAAACTTTTCAAATCGAGCTCGGACTTTATTTCAAACTGCGTGTTTGCTTTTAATTAATTACCTTTTCGATTATTGAGTTTTAACAGATTCCAAAATACAATATAGGGCAGTGACCATTAATGGTGATGACATAAATTTAAAAAAAAAAATTGAGGGGCATTATTCGTATTAAATATACTACAATAATAATGTAGTATCAAATATTGTATATAGGAAGTGTTAAATGAGGCAAGTAACATATATAGGGTCCAACATATTTTCCGCTTTTAAGAGAAGTGATCAAATATTATTTAAAGGGTAAGCTGCTAATAATGATAATAGTCAATGTGGACTGACTGACACAGTATTATTTGATCAACAAATATTATTATTTAAAAATAATTGTGACAGTGAATTATTTAAAAATTGGGTCAATTTTGTCAGTAAAAATTGACAGTAACTCCAATTCTATATATTTTTTTGTAGGGTTCGTACGTGCAAGTAAAGCAATCTCTTTGGTCTGAATCTGATCAGGACCACCTTATTTCTGATCACCTGGATTTTGTTATTCACACACACTGCCTTATTTATATCTTTATAATTGTTAGTTCAGACCAAACCAAGGTAATACTTAATTAAGGAGAATGCTGCAGTCCCGTTACGAAACCATTCCGTCGGGATTTGTAACTGTTAGATTATTATATAATTGTCGGGGATAGTCGATCAATCGTTTACAAACTCCGACGGAATGGTTCCGTAACGTGACAATAGCATTTTCCCTAAATTAACAAGCACACGTGAAATATTTTATCTTTCAGATGAAAATGAAGCCAAAAAATGTAACTCGAGCTGCACCTTTTTCCAGTGCAAACATAAATTGAATTAGAAAACAAGGCTAAAACTAAAAGGGTTTGTTCAATTTTATTATAAAAGCAAGTATTTATGAAGAAGGTTGGGTATAAGTCAAAATAGGGGTCCTATATATGTCCATGCCGGCCCACTGGTCTATTATATAGCCCTGATAACTGCTGTACTAAAAGCCCAGGCCCTCCCCACTGGCAGATGGCATTAACTAAAATCGTGTGGATTTTAATCTGAATTAATAAATTAATA